TCACCTGCCCCAGATGGTCTACTTCACCTGCGCCAGATGGTCTACTTCACCTGCGCCAGATGGTCTACTTCACCCACGCCAGATGGTCTACTTCACCTGCCCCAGATGGTCTACTCTTCACCTGCGCCAGATGGTCTACTTTTCACCTGCGCCAGATGGTCTACTCCACCTGCCCCAGATGGTCTACTTCACCTGCGCCAGGTGGTCTACTTCACCTGCACCAGATGGTCTACTTCACCTGCCCCAGCTGGTCTACTTTTCACCTGCCCCAGATGGTCTACTTTTCACCTGCGCCAGATGGTCTACTTTTCACCTGCCCCAGATGGTCTAGGGTGACCACCAGACCCCCCGCGATGACGTGTAGGGTGCGGTGGTGGAGGACATCCACCTCAAGGGTGACGGCTACGACGGGTGAGCTGTGAAGGAGCAGGAGCAGCAAGTGGGTGCACGTGTCGCGTACCAGAGGGTGAACATGTCGCCCGTCCCACGTCACTGCCTCTGCACCTCCCAACAGCACCGCATCGCCTGCACAGATTTCCCCCCAAAAAAATTTCCGAAATTAATGGCCATATTTTTAGCGCATTTCATTACCTGCACAGATTTCCCCCAAAAATTTCCGAAATTAATGGCCATATTTTAGCGTATTTCATTACCTGCACAGATTTCCCCAAAAAAATTTCCGAAATTAATGGCCATATTTTTTGCGCTTTTTCTCATTTATGGGAAAAATGCACTATTGTGCTCGTCATGTCAGTCTGTCTGTCCGTCCGTCTGTCCGTGACCTCAAATTTTCGTCGACGAGAAAATGCGCTCTCTGTCACTCACTGCAGTGAGTACCGAGTTATATTTTTGTAAGCAATGCCTGTGTGTTTTCCCAGGTTATAAATGAGACATTTTTGTAATTTCCTACAGATATTTCTCATTATAATGAAAAACAAACACGGTTAATGCACACCCAAGTAAAGAGTGTGAAGTAACCGGACACGAAGTAAATAAAACCGTCAGACTGAAGAAAAACAAACACGGTTAATACACTTCCAAAAAAAGAGTGTAAAATAATCAGACCCGAACTAAATAAAACCATCAGAGTGAATTTCAAGTTCTGAAGTTATTCTTTGATGGGATACGGCGGTATACGTTTTTGTTCATTAAATTAACGTGAAACTTGTACATAAGACGTACCNAGCAGTTAGATGCCGTGTGGTATATAAGTATGTGGTGCGAGCAGTTAGATGCCGTGTGGTATATAAGTATGTGGTGCGAGCAGTTAGATGCCGTGTGGTATATAAGTATGTGGTGCGAGCAGTTAGATGCCGTGTGGTATATAAGTATGTGGTGCGAGCAGTTAGATGCCGTGTGGTATATAAGTATGTGGTGCGAGCAGTTAGATGCCGTGTGGTATATAAGTATGTGGTGCGAGCAGTTAGATGCCGTGTGGTATATAAGTATGTGGTGCGAGCAGTTAGATGCCGTGTGGTATATAAGTATGTGGTGCGAGCAGTTAGATGCCGTGTGGTATATAAGTATGTGGTGCGAGCAGTTAGATGCCGTGTGGTATATAAGTATGTGGTGCGAGCAGTTAGATGCCGTGTGGTATATAAGTATGTGGTGCGAGCAGTTAGATGCCGTGTGGTATATAAGTATGTGGTGCGAGCAGTTAGATGCCGTGTGGTATATAAGTATGTGGTGCGAGCAGTTAGATGCCGTGTGGTATATAAGTATGTGGTGCGAGCAGTTAGATGCCGTGTGGTATATAAGTATGTGGTGCGAGCAGTTAGATGCCGTGTGGTATATAAGTATGTGGTGCGAGCAGTTAGATGCCGTGTGGTATATAAGTATGTGGTGCGAGCAGTTAGATGCCGTGTGGTATATAAGTATGTGGTGCGAGCAGTTAGATGCCGTGTGGTATATAAGTATGTGGTGCGAGCAGTTAGATGCCGTGTGGTATATAAGTATGTGGTGCGAGCAGTTAGATGCCGTGTGGTATATAAGTATGTGGTGCGAGCAGTTAGATGCCGTGTGGTATATAAGTATGTGGTGCGAGCAGTTAGATGCCGTGTGGTATATAAGTATGTGGTGCGAGCAGTTAGATGCCGTGTGGTATATAAGTATGTGGTGCGAGCAGTTAGATGCCGTGTGGCAGGCTGTGCGACTAGTAATATGAGGGCAAATTGATACACAACTTCTGCAGCGGCCTGCAAGACGCTGCAGCTACATATGGCGGTTAGCGGATGATGAGCTTGCGCGGTTTACCGAAAAACGCATTGCGCATCGCAAGAACGCACGGCTTTCCTTTCATTTCAAACTTGCGAGCGTGCATTAAATTTTAGGATTATTGTACTTGTAAAAGTTGTGGAGGCATAGCGGTTATTGATTGCTAGTCCCGCCTGCGCAGCGCGAGTCCCCGTGATTGCTAGTCCCGCATGCGTAGCGTGAGTCCCCGTGATTGCTAGTCCCGCACGCGCAGCGCTAGTCCCCGTGATTGCTTGTCCCGCATGCGCAGCGCTAGTCCCCGTGATTGCTTGTCCCGCATGCGCAGCGCTTGTCCCCGTGATTGCTAGTCCCGCATGCGCAGCGCTAGTCCCCGTGATTGCTAGTCCCGCACGCGCAGCGTGAGTCCCCGTGATTGCTTGTCCCGCATGCGCAGCGCTAGTCCCCGTGATTGCTAGTCCCGCGTGCGCAGCGTGAGTCCCCGTGATTGCTAGTCCCGCGTGCGCAGCGTGAGTCCCCGTGATTGCTAGTCCCGCATGCGCAGCGTGAGTCCCCGTGATTGCTAGTCCCGCATGTAATTCATGCGGTTAGTCCAAATACGGAGAACTAAAACTGAAAATATGGCATTGAAATTAAAAATTATAACTTCGAATGTGCCGACAAATCATAAATAAAGGACTAGAAAATAAAATATGCGTGTAAATTAAGATATTATTCCATTGGATTGAAGATTCTTCGATCACTGTCGTAAATGATTTATTGCAGTGAATAGCCATACTTTCCCATCGCATTATAATGTGTTAATTAAAGTTTGTACAACAAAAGAAGAAAGCTGAGTTCGTAATTTATAAATTCAGAGCATGACGAGCCAAAATTGCTTCTTATTTATTCCCTCTCACTTGTTAATATATTATCTGAATTTATTCAATAAATATAACAATTAAATTTTTGAAGCGGTAAATTACTTGTTTAATAGTAAATAAATAACTTGTATTAAAGTGTAGTCACCCACAACAAATAAATCTTATAAGTTTAAGCACCTTTACTATGAAGACGTCGGACTAAGACCGGCATGTTATAATATACCATATAATAATAAATAAATAATAATAAAGACATATAAGTTAGAGCACCTTCAGAATGAGTGTGTCGGGCGGAGACCAGCATGTTTCCAATATATACCATATAATAATAAAAATTACCATACAATATATATTATAAACTAATAATTGTTAACAATTTGAATTAGAGGGAATAAATTGACAACTAAGACGGGTTATTTTTAAAGACGGTTTGTAATAATTTCTCCTTGCATATTTAGTTTTCAAAAAGTAGTAAAGTACAGTCGCCCACATTTTAAAAATAGTATAGTTACGCGCTCCATCATATAATGAGGATGTCGGTTGAGACTCCTGCCTCTCATGCCCTATATTAATTATATTTAAATTATATAATTAATATGAATAATTTAGTAATTAATTATCTCATGCCTATATTAATAAACCCAACGACAGTTGATGTTAGCGCGTCGTGGCATTATTAGAATATCATGATTATTCAGCACATTCATTTTATGATTGAAGTTATGAGATCGCGGTCATGAGATTATTGACATAAACATTTTCGCTGAACATGCACAAATACACTTTATTAGTTAACGTGCAGACCTCCTTAGCTTTGGGTCCACAAGGTTACAGAGACATTTCCACAGTCGCTGAGTTGACAGTTTACGTGTTGTGAAAACAAAACTTATCCATGGAGTGGAAGCGCCATTTTTTTAAAAGGGCTGGGAGTTTCGACCCCAATTAAAAGGCAGTGTACACCAAAAAGGCAGTGTACACCAATTAAAAGGCAGTGTACACGCAGTTGTTAGAAAAAACGGTGAAAAACGGT